ACATCCAAAATCATAAAAAAGTTGCCAAAAAAATTCAATTTTTCTTAGGCAGAAAATTTTATTGCATATTCTTGCACAAAATACACCAAAAAGTGTAGAAAAAAATTGACGGCCCGATCCGAGTAGAGGAAGACCATTTTTATGACCAAAAACGCATGAAAAACCAAAAAAAATTACCAAAAAAATTCAATTTTTCTTAGGCAGAAGATTTTATTGCATATTCTTGCACAAAATACACCAAAAAGTGTAGAAAAAAATTGACACCCAGATCCGAGTAGAGGAAGACCCTTTTTATGACCAAAAACTCATCCAAAATCAAAAAAAGTTGCCAAAAAAATTCAATTTTTCTTAGGCAGAAGATTTTATTGCATATTCTTGCACAAAATACACCGAAAAGTGTAGAAAAAAATTGACACCCAGATCCGAGCAGAGGAAGACCCTTTTTATGACCAAAAACGCATCCAAAAGCATAAATAACTAACCAAAAAAATTGAATTTTTCTTAGGCAGACGATTTTATTGCTAATTCTTGCACAAAATACTCCGAAAAGTGTAGAAAAAAATAGACTCCTAGATCCGAGTAGAGGAAGACCATTTTTATGACCAAAAACGCATCCAAAAGCTTAAAAAACTAACCAAAAAAATTCAATTTTTCTTAGGCAGAAGATTTTATTGCATATTCTTGCACAAAATACACCGAAAAGTGTGGAAAAAAATTGACACCCAGATCCGAGTAGAGGAAGACCATTTTTATGACCAAAAACACATCCAATATCATAAAATAGTTGCCAAAAAAATTCAATTTTTCTTAGGCAGAAGATTTTATTGCATATTCTTGCCCAAAATACTCCGAAAAGTGTAGAAAAAAATTGACTCCTAGATCCGAGTAGAGGAAGACCCTTTTTATGACCAAAAACGCATCCAAAAGCAGAAAAAACTTTCCAAAAAAATTGAATTTTTCTTAGGCAGAAGATTTTATTGCATATTCTTGCACAAAATACACCGAAAAGTGTGGAAAAAAATTGACACCCAGATCCGAGTAGAGGAAGACCCTTTTTATGACCAAAAACGCATCCAAAATGATAAAAAAGTTGCCAAAAAAATTCAATTTTTCTTAGGCAGACGATTTTATTGCTAATTCTTGCACAAAATACTCCGAAAAGTGTAGAAAAAAATTGACTCCTAGATCCGAGTAGAGGAAGACCATTTTTATGACCAAAAACGCATCCAAAATCATAAAAAAGTTGCCAAAAAAATTCAATTTTTCTTAGGCAGACGATTTTATTGCTAATTCTTGCACAAAATACTCCGAAAAGTGTAGAAAAAAATTGACACCCAGATCCGAGTAGAGGAAGACCCTTTTTATGACCAAAAACACATCTAAAATCATAAAAAAGTTGCCAAAAAAATTCAATTTTTCTTAGGCAGAAGATTTTATTGCATATTCTTGCACAAAATACACCAAAAAGTGTAGAAAAAAATTGACGGCCCGATCCGAGTAGAGGAAGACTTTTTTTACGACCAAAAACACATCCAAAATCATAAAAAACTTTCCAAAAAAATTCAATTTTTCTTAGGCAGAAGATTTTATTGCATATTCTTGCACAAAATACACAGAGAAGTGTAGAAAAAAATTGACACCTAGATCCGAGTAGAGGAAGACCCTTTTTATGACCAAAAACACATCCAAAATCATAAAAAAGTTGCCAAAAAAATTCAATTTTTCTTAGGCAGAAAATTTTATTGCATATTCTTGCACAAAATACACCAAAAAGTGTAGAAAAAAATTGACGGCCCGATCCGAGTAGAGGAAGACCATTTTTATGACCAAAAACGCATGAAAAACCAAAAAAAATTACCAAAAAAATTCAATTTTTCTTAGGCAGAAGATTTTATTGCATATTCTTGCACAAAATACACCGAAAAGTGTAGAAAAAAATTGACACCCAGATCCGAGTAGAGGAAGACCCTTTTTATGACCAAAAACACATCCAAAATCAAAAAAAGTTGCCAAAAAAATTCAATTTTTCTTAGGCAGAAGATTTTATTGCATATTCTTGCACAAAATACACCGAAAAGTGTAGAAAAAAATTGACACCCAGATCCGAGCAGAGGAAGACCCTTTTTATGACCAAAAACGCATCCAAAAGCATAAAAAACTAACCAAAAAAATTGAATTTTTCTTAGGCAGACGATTTTATTGCTAATTCTTGCACAAAATACTCCGAAAAGTGTAGAAAAAAATAGACTCCTAGATCCGAGTAGAGGAAGACCATTTTTATGACCAAAAACGCATCCAAAAGCTTAAAAAACTAACCAAAAAAATTCAATTTTTCTTAGGCAGAAGATTTTATTGCATATTCTTCCACAAAATACACCGAAAAGTGTAGAAAAAAATTGACACCCAGATCCGAGTAGAGGAAGACCATTTTTATGACCAAAAACGCATGAAAAACCAAAAAAAATTACCAAAAAAATTCAATTTTTCTTAGGCAGAAGATTTTATTGCATATTCTTGCACAAAATACACCAAAAAGTGTAGAAAAAAATTGACACCCAGATCCGAGTAGAGGAAGACCCTTTTTATGACCAAAAACTCATCCAAAATCAAAAAAAGTTGCCAAAAAAATTCAATTTTTCTTAGGCAGAAGATTTTATTGCATTTTCTTGCCCAAAATACTCCGAAAAGTGTAGAAAAAAATTGACTCCTAGATCCGAGTAGAGGAAGACCCTTTTTATGACCAAAAACGCATCCAAAAGCAGAAAAAACTTTCCAAAAAAATTGAATTTTTCTTAGGCAGAAGATTTTATTGCATATTCTTGCACAAAATACACCGAAAAGTGTGGAAAAAAATTGACACCCAGATCCGAGTAGAGGAAGACCCTTTTTATGACCAACAACGCATCCAAAATCATAAAAAAGTTGCCAAAAAAATTCAATTTTTCTTAGGCAGACGATTTTATTGCTAATTCTTGCACAAAATACTCCGAAAAGTGTAGAAAAAAATTGACGGCCCGATCCGAGTAGAGGAAGACTTTTTTTACGACCAAAAACACATCCAAAATCATAAAAAACTTTCCAAAAAAATTCAATTTTTCTTAGGCAGAAGATTTTATTGCATATTCTTGCACAAAATACACAGAGAAGTGTAGAAAAAAATTGACACCTAGATTCGAGTAGAGGAAGACCCTTTTTATGACCAAAAACACATCCAAAATCATAAAAAAGTTGCCAAAAAAATTCAATTTTTCTTAGGCAGAAAATTTTATTGCATATTCTTGCACAAAATACACCAAAAAGTGTAGAAAAAAATTGACGGCCCGATCCGAGTAGAGGAAGACCATTTTTATGACCAAAAACGCATGAAAAACCAAAAAAAATTACCAAAAAAATTCAATTTTTCTTAGGCAGAAGATTTTATTGCATATTCTTGCACAAAATACACCAAAAAGTGTAGAAAAAAATTGACACCCAGATCCGAGTAGAGGAAGACCCTTTTTATGACCAAAAACTCATCCAAAATCAAAAAAAGTTGCCAAAAAAATTCAATTTTTCTTAGGCAGAAGATTTTATTGCATATTCTTGCACAAAATACACCGAAAAGTGTAGAAAAAAATTGACACCCAGATCCGAGCAGAGGAAGACCCTTTTTATGACCAAAAACGCATCCAAAAGCATAAATAACTAACCAAAAAAATTGAATTTTTCTTAGGCAGACGATTTTATTGCTAATTCTTGCACAAAATACTCCGAAAAGTGTAGAAAAAAATAGACTCCTAGATCCGAGTAGAGGAAGACCATTTTTATGACCAAAAACGCATCCAAAAGCTTAAAAAACTAACCAAAAAAATTCAATTTTTCTTAGGCAGAAGATTTTATTGCATATTCTTCCACAAAATACACCGAAAAGTGTAGAAAAAAATTGACACCCAGATCCGAGTAGAGGAAGACCCTTTTTATGACCAAATACGCATCCAAAATCATAAAAAACTTTCCAAAAAAATTCAATTTTTCTTAGGCAGAAGATTTTATTGCATATTCTTGCACAAAATACACCGAAAAGTGTAGAAAAAAATTGACACCCAGATCCGAGTAGAGGAAGACCCTTTTTATGACCAAATACGCATCCAAAATCATAAAAAACTTTCCAAAAAAATTCAATTTTTCTTAGGCAGAAGATTTTATTGCATATTCTTGCACAAAATACACCGAAAAGTGTAGAAAAAAATTGACACCCAGATCCGAGTAGAGGAAGACCCTTTTTATGACCAAATACGCATCCAAAATCATAAAAAACTTTCCAAAAAAATTCAATTTTTCTTAGGCAGAAGATTTTATTGCATATTCTTGCACAAAATACTCCGAAAAGTGTAGAAAAAAATTGACTCCTAGATCCGAGTAGAGGAAGACCATTTTTATGACCTTTAAAGCGTTTTTCGTAAAAAAAAAATTTTCAAAAAAATTGAATTTTTCTTAGGCAAACTATTTTAATGCAATTTCTTGCACAAAATACACCTAAAAGAGTAGAAAAATATTGACAGCCCTAAACGAGTAGAGGAACACACCTATTATTAACATTTAAGACGTCTTTAGAAAATCCGTAGACAAAAGAAAGGTAAACTAGAAAAAGCATTGCATAAGCATAAGGCTCAAGAAAAGGAAAACTTGAATAAAGACTCAAAAAGAGCGCATCCTAATGAAAAACTTTGTTCGCTCTCTCAAGAGAAACTTTTTCAATTCGAAATACTCCCTCGAAAAGTTTTTGTAGAAACTACAAAATCCGGTGACTACATGTCCTTGGTCAATTGAGAGATGTATCTCACAGTTCTTTTTTAAAGTTCCAATTGGAATTGTGTATATAGATATATTTAAAAGAAATTATGGTAGGCGAGTCACGTTGTATAATCTTTTATGTATATATATACTCTCCCTCCGTTCAATGCGACCATCCTGTTTTGTCGTTCAACTTGCAAGTTCTAATTGGTAAACTTTTCGCATAGTTCCACCAACGCCGCCCACTCTTCTTGCAACAGCAACGACCAACGACGCAGTTCAACTTCAATGGAAACAAGGAGATAATGGAGGCTCGTCGATTAAAGGATTTTTATTGGCTTATCGAAAAGAGTTTGCTGAATGGGAGGAGGTCATGCTTGATCGACGAGCGAGTACACATTTGTTAGAGGGACTACAATGCGGTACAAAATATCAATTCACATTGGCGGCATTTAATCGTATTGGCAGTGGCGGTGCAAGTGAAATTGAAAATGCCCGTACAAAAGGAACAAAACCATTACCACCATCAAAACAACATTTTGTTAAGGCAAATTTAACATCCGTTATACTTGAATTGGCATCTTGGCAGGATGGCGGTTGTCCGTTGCTATATTTTGTCGTTGAATACAGACGATACCCTGGAGAATGGCTTTTAGGTACTAAAAAAAAATTTATTTTTTACCTATGTTCAATTCTTTGTTTAATTTAATTAAAGTCGTTAAATTTATTAAAGAAGAGAGCATTTTTTTAAAGTGTCTGACTTTAAAAAAAAAACTTGCACAACTGATTAAAATTCTTTTAAGTATTTAAAAATGTTTTGTCTGATTAAAATTGACTTGTACTATACTTATTTTAGAATTATATGAGAATCGTTTTGTCTGACTGAAACTGTTTTTTACTACTGAAAATAAAATTATTAGCAATTTTGAACGTCTGACTTTTACTACTTACTAAAAGAATATAAGAATCGGCTACAATTATAAACATTTAAAAAGAAAAGAAATTTAATTTAATACCTTATAATTTTCTGTGATAAATAAAAACTTGAAAATTCATCTAATTTATCTTATTTAAGAAAATTAAATTTATTTTTTTCATTCTTATGGATTGATGAGAGTAGATATATATATATATTCTGTAGAATTGAAACCACACTAATTTGATAATTTTCAGTATCAAATAACGTTCCACCGCAAACGAGATTTCCAATAGTTAGTTTGGAAAGTGGAACGAGTTATGAATTGAGGATAACTGCTTATAACAATGCGGGTTCCACGCATGCGGAATATTTATTCACAACATTAACATCAACTGGCAATACAAGAATGCAAGAGGGACCACCAATTGATGCTGGTGATACGCCATTATATCTTGATGCTCAAGTTTTGGCACCCAGTGTAATATCATTATTCGCTGTTATTCTCGCCGTTGCCGGTGTATGCTTTTGCCTAAGAACACGTAAGTATGCAAAAAAAAAAAAAAAATCCTTAAAATATTGTTTTTAATTAAACTCACCTCTTTACTGTTATCATTAATTTTTCTCCGCTGAAAATTAACCCACTATTTCTAAACTTTTTCCATTTTTTATGGAAAAATATTATTTTTTCTTTTAAAAAAAAACAAGAAACAAATTTTTTTTTTGCAAGTTTAGATTTTTTTTTGAAACTTGAGTTGAAATTTTTAAGAAATTTAATTTATTTAAAAACAATAGAAAATGATATTTCGGATTTAATTATTCGAAGGAAATTAATAATAATTAATTATAAAATCGGAAAAAAAGAAAATAATGAGATTGTTAAGAAATGTGTGTGGGGAGAGAGAAGGTAAAATCGAAAATTCACTCTCCCTAAAGGGAAGCTATTCACTCCACTTGTCGCCCTATGGAGTATCTAAATATCGAGGAAGCGTACTCCAATTATCGTGGAGAAAAGAATTCCAAACCGAATGCCTATATCGGTATTCAAGAGAGCTCTGTCTAACACACACTGTACGTGAATTAATTCATCATTCGTGGTTTCAACAAGCGCGTTAATGAGGCAGAGATTCCCCCTCCCCTTTTTCCACATGTATATATGACAAAGCTCGAATATTTTCCAGAAAATGGGGAAGAAAAAATTACCAATACAATAAAAAAAAGGGGGCTTTTAATTTTAATTTTTCATTGTCTGATTTTTAATTTTCTTTCTTTCATTTCTTTTTCCATTTCATTATTAAATCTTGTTTTAATTATTAAACTACTATTAATTACTAAACAAGAAAATAATAATTTAACTACTTTTTTTAAATTAAATTCAAACTCAATTATTTAAATTATTTATTAAAAATTGTTAAAAATTATAAAAACAAATTAAAAAAAAAAATTATCGCGTTTTTCTGAATTGGAAAACAATTAAGAAAACAGTTGAACAGACAAAAAAAAAGTATTTAATTGAGATTAAATGATAAGAAAGTAATTTCCTAATGGAAAAAGTAGAAATAAATTTTAAGTTCTTTTTATTTATTTAAAGTGGAGATTGTTTTTTTTTTTTTGTTATTCTCTAACAGTTAAAGAAATACTATATTGTTATTTTTAGATCCCGTCAGATCTGGTTCGACGAACGATCCAAATGCACAAAATCAAGCGGCCCTTGAGAATAAACATAATATGGAGCAAAGGGAGCAATATTATGCGACTGTGAGAAAACCAGGTCAACAGTCACCGTGTCGTGAGGTGAGCGCATTGGAACGAATACCAGAATATTCGGAAGATATTTATCCGTACGCTACTTTTCATCTGCCCGAGCAGGAAAATCTCTCAGCGAATCCAATGCGTCAGGCATATTTTTACGAGAGAAGTGAAACAATGTTACAAGGCGCCCAGGTACGGGTAAGAAAAAATTGATTTTTAAAAATGAACGCCAATAAATATTTTATTTATTTTTATTATTATTATTATCAAGTCCCGAAGAACTTCTCTCCAACTTTCTTCGTGATATTGACATTTCTGTTATAGTATTTTATCGATATTAGACTTTTTTTTTCTAAGAAGAAATGAAATTAAGAAAGTAATTAAAAACCTAATTAAGAAGTGCTTGAAAGAAGCGTTTAAAAGTTAAAGGGTAAATAATATAAAGTTTTTTTTTTTATTTCTAAGAGGAGAAAAAAAATGCAATTTGAATTAAATTATACAAATAAATATTTGCTAATTTTTTTCGTTAATTTTTTTATAATTTTCCATTTTAAAAAATAATTTGTTGTCTAGTTTGAATTTTATATTAGTAAATTTTAGTTGTAAAATAATAATTTTATTATTATAGTATTTTATTATTTATAGTAATTTTATTTTTATTTGTAAATATAATTTATGTGATGTGAAAATAAATTTTGTTTTCAGTGTGATGTCGATCAATATACAAAAGTTCGTGGACGATCACGTCGTAAATCGAAATCATTTAAATCAGAATCAGAAGAATATGATACATTGGGTTCTGACAGCGATACAGAAGTTGGTACAAGTAGTCGTACCGAATCGTCAAATCATCTTGAAGATTCGGGACCAGCGTCAATAATGGCCCGTTCGCCGGGTCCAAATTCCGGTCAAAGGGGACGTGAGCAGCGACTAGCCCTTGTTCCCAGGCCGGTCCATCATAGTAAGTTAGTATTCGGTTTTCTGTGTCAATTTTTTTACTTTCCTTTTTTTTTCTCCACAGCATTTGTACACTAACTTCTTAATTTCATTGCAATGCTCGCTGCGACATTACAGATGTGCTGTACCACACGCACGAATCAAGTACATCAACAGAGCCGTCACCAATTTCTGAGAGAAAGACTTTACCTAGACTAGAAAAGCAGAGGTATTTTTCAAATAAACAATTTTTTTCCTCCTATTAATCACACAAAAAGAAAATCATTGAATTCTTTTTTAAAAAAAAAAAAATAATTTCTTTTTTCCCAAAGGTATCGAGGTGGACCTCTGGACGTATCGATGGATGCAAATCGACCGATTATTAAACTCACGGAATCAGGTATTCGTTCCTATTCGACAAATGCATCACCAAGTCATTTGAATAATCATACACGAATGTCGACGTACGATCGACCAAAGGATTCAAGTGAAAGAAAATCCGTCGAGTCACTTTGTCATTTGGATGATGGTGGAAATCGAAATTATCAAAAAAATTCACGTTATCGACATCGAGAAAAAGGCGGCGAATGGGGCAACGAATTGTCAACATTGGAATTGAAACCGCCAACTGGTTTTACCGATGCTCATGAAACCAGTGAGGCCGAATGCGACATCGACATGAAATTACGACTTCATCGAAAAAGAGGTACTGGTCAAAACTGCCAACTTTCAAAATCACCTCAGGATTTTACCATTACAGTCTGAGAATTATAATAATAAATAATAATAGCAAATATCAAAAAAATGAATGAGATTTGTAAAAATTTAATAATAATTGTAAAGTTAATTCCCTGTTGAAAAAAAAGAGAATCGAGGCATTGATAAAAAAAAAAATATATATGTAAAGAATGACTGTCTCAGAGACATTTATAATATTATCGCTCCATGTAAAAAATAAAGAATGTATTTTTCTAATTCACTATTTTTCATTTATTTAACCAAAAACGTCATTTTCTTTTATATCTAATAATTTTTTTTTTTTTGAAGGCTATAAAATTCAAAACTTGATTTCATTTTTATTAAATTTTTACCAATTTATTAATAAATATTTTGTTTATTCAATTTTTTATACAATCAAATTTTCTAAATTATTTAATTGGCACAGTAAAATATAAATTATCAAAAATTTGAACTCATTTTACTAATTTAGTGCAATAAAAATGATAATTCAGAAAAATTAATGACAAAGTTAAAATTTGTTATAAAATAAAAAATTGGGATTTGCTTGAAAAATTGAAGAGTTTGGAAAATTTCACAACTATATATCTTTTTACTTTATTTTCCCCAGAAAATTTGTTTTATTCTGGAAAATAAACGTGTCACATTCAACCATTATTGCGATGGTGATTCTTTTTTTTTTGTTTTGTTTTGTCATCGAACTTATTTGAAAATTTTTCGTCTCGATGAAATGATGCGACTACAGCGGTAAAAATTGTGTTTGATTTTATTTCATTATACACGAAGAAAAGTATTAATCCATTCGCATATTCAAAAATTTTAAACTTAACAAACAATCACTCTCAATTCTGAAATTCATTCTCTCAAATTTAATATCGACAAATTTTAACAACTTTCGCCAAAAATAGAAATTCTAATTTTTCTCCTTTATTTCTAATATATTTTGTTTTTAATTTGAATTATAAAAAAAAAATGTTCACCTATTCGTAATTTTATTTTTAGCCAAAGTTGTGGATACTTAAAAATATGAAGGATTTTTTCTTTTCTGTGGCGAGAAAAAATTTTTCTAGAAGTAAATGAAGGTAAAATATAAGGATTCACTTCTCTTCGTGGGATTGTGTACAATTAGTTTTGAATTTTTTGTCGCGAAATCGCCACGTTTTTTTTATATATATATTTATATATATAATAAATCTATTATAACCGACTGTCTTGTTAATAAATCGATCGTTCAACTTCGGTGCAACAAAATGACAATTAAAAAAAAAAAAAGAACATTCATGTGCGTCATCTCGCAAAAAGTATACTTGACTAGAATCTAAAGTGCCTGCCTTTTTGCATTAATAATTCGAGATACTACAAAGTTTACTGCGCAGTGCGTTTTCTACAGACTACGGTTTACCGTACATTGCGCTCGTTTGCCATTTTCCAAAATTTACTCATACATTTTATAATTTTTTTTTTTTTTTTTTTGCTTATTATTTTCTCGCAATAATTACAAAAAATTTCACCTCGAAAGAGAGATTTAATTCAATTTTATATTAAATTTAATTGATTATTGAACTTTTTTAAATTTCATTTGTAGAAAACTAATTGTTCTGAATTGTTAAATTTGATTAATTAACTCTAAAAAATTAAATGAAAAATTCGATGACAGAGCAAAAAAAAAAATTTTTAACTGAAAATTTGACGTTTCATCTCTCGTTCAGGCTCAAAAATCTTTACTTTTTTTTATTTTTTGTAATTATTTTCCAGAGACAGTCGCATTTTATTAAATTTCTAACATCATCATTTCATTGAAAACATCGATTTGTTCATTGAATGATACATAGTCTGTGTACAACATTTGCGCGCCAAGGAAAAGAATTTTTGCCAAAACTGAAGGTACTTTTGCTATTAAAACAAAATAAATTAAAAAAAAAAATGTTTTCTATTTTCTACAACGTTCGTCAAAGTATTAAACTTCATACATATATTACATTTATAAGTTTCTCTGTACATCTGAAATTTAATACTACAATTCGTGCAGAATTTTTATGGAATATTTTTAACTTTTTGTTAAATTTTTTTTTAAATTATAATTTTTTTTTTTACATTCTCATCATATGAGAATTTTTCATTGAAAGATTGTTTCAGCATGAAATTCATTTCCCTGGAAGCTACATATATATATATATATTTATATATATATAATCTAGATAAAGATATAACTTATTTTCGAATTTACATAGCTATAGACATTATGTGATATACACGTATATGTATAAATCGTTAGTCGTTCTTTTTTTTTTAATTCTCTTAAACATTATCGTTATTAATTTAATTATGCGGGTCATAACAAATATTACACAAAGATATATTACACACGTCGGATGCAAAAGGAGGGATTGATTGGTTTATCGGATCATATATGCAGCGTCGCTAAACTATTATTTTTTTTTGTTACATATTTTTTAGTCAAATTTTTCTTTACAATCTCGTTGATTATTATTTCACATTTAATTTTTTTTTTTTTTTAAATTTATTTTTACTATAGTTGCTCTTATTTTTTCTTCTTTGATCGCTGCAATAATTTATGGGAAGCATTCTGACGACGATTGAATAGATTTTTTTTTTTAGATTTTGTGTTCCTCACCTATTTTTTATAAATGCTATTCGTTCAATCTCGGACGGCTTCTTTGTGTGCACGGCTCTCGGGAACAATTTAAATTTTTAATAAAAATTGCTCCCGATTAGCAACCATTCGCGAATTTCTATTTTTTTCAGAAATTTTGTCCCCAAAACAAAAATTATCAATTTTTCTTTCTTTTTTTTAAAAAAGGAAAGAAAAACATTTTTTGAATAAGTTTTCTTTTTCATTTTTGGACGATTTCTGGTAAAAATTACAAAATTCGATAACTACTGGGATAAATATTTTTTTTTATCATTTCAAAAAACGTGTCATTCCTTGCATCTCCTTATCTTTTAAATCGTCGTTAAATAGCGAAAATGAAAAATTCAGTCTTTAAAGAACACCTTAAAATTTGGGCACAAATTATTTTCTATGAGTTACTAAAAAAAGAATTAAAAAAAAATTCATGCCCAGGTGTTTTTTTTTTTTTTTTTTTTTTAATTTTTTACTGGAATAATTTGCTGGTTCGTTGTCTTGTTTAGTTACTCGACATAATGGAAAAATCGACGAATCGCCAACAATTCGAAATTAAAGGCTTTTATAGTCGCGGACAGTTTAATATTTTCCTTTTTTTTGTCATTTTTTTTTCTTTATTATTATTTTGAGCGGTTTACTCTTGTCATCAGATGACAGGACGAGAAGACAAATGATTACAAAGTTCTTTGACTAATGACAAGAAATGAATTTTCGATTATAATAATAATAATAATAATAAATTTAAAAATTGTTAGAGAGTATTCGCAGTTTGTTTTTTAAATTTAAAACATATATATTCTCACACACAGTTTTGTTTTTCTTTCAAAACGCATTATATGAATATCACCATACATTAATTTTTTTTTTTTTATTATAAAAAAATGCAGATTGTTTTAGTGGTTCCACAGTGGACAGTCAACGCGCGATTTAAACACGCAGAAAATTAATCGATTATCGTATTCTGTTTTTTTGTGGGGGGGGGGAAATTAATTTATCAATTTGTTAATAAGCGGAGTATAGAAAAATTTTAATTGCACAATCGTGAAAGATTTTTTGTGCCAAGATATTTTAATGCAACAAGCTTTGTACAAAAATTAATGCTGATAAAAAATTGTTTTCGAAAAAAAAAAAAAATTGAAACTTTTTATTTCATTTACAAATTTTAATGTCTTAAAATTCACTTTCACTGATTTAGAAAAATAAAATTGATACTATAAATTATTTTTTAAAAAAATTCTTTTACACAAATTAATTTAAAAAAATTTTTTCTTTTGAAACAGCATTAACATTTGTTGAAAACTTGTCGCAGGTGAGCAATCTTAAAAGTTAGCGGATTTATAATATAGACTATAAAAAAGTAGAAAATGAAAATTTATCGTGATAATTATATGAAAAAATTGCAGAGTTTTGTGGAGAAAAATTGGTTCTTGTTTCGAGTTTATGAAATATACACGTACGCAGTTAAAATTAAATATTTCGATCGAGTATATTATAGAAAATCAGTTTCTCTAAATCTTTAATTTAGAGAAATTCAATTAAATATTAAGATATTTAATCGTCAATTATTATTATTAGTCTCAATTAACTAATAACCATTATAATTTTACTCTCACCGTAAAATTCAGGTGATTAAACGTTTGGAAGTAACAATTACAAAATATTGTTTATTCTCCACAGAATGATTGAAAAATTTTTTTAAAACTTTTTTTCTTAATTGTAATCGTACTGTAAATCCGGATAAAAATTAACAGTGGCATTAAAAAAAAAAAAAAAAAAAAACATTACAGACATTAAAACGCAATTCTTTGTGATTTTTTCAAGAATTATTAATTTTTAAATGCAAAATGATTGATAGGTATAAAAAATGTGGATCAAAATGTGAAGACTTTTTTTCGGAATGTTTTGAGATATGTAATATTACTATTATTATTATTTTAAAAATTCTTGACGATCTGAATCGGATTTTTCATCGAATCCACACAAGACAGAACATAATGATAAAAAATACAAAAATGAAATAAAAATTTACGTTATTCATAAGTAAAAAAAAATACTTAATTTATTCAAGAATGTCACGAAGTACCAAAAAATATTGATAATTTATCAAAAAAAAAAAAAAATTTTTTCATTTACAATTTTTAAATTACCCCATTTTGTTTGATTTAATTTACAAACAATTGTTTTTTACTATTTGTAAATAAATAATACAGAGAATTCAATTTACTTTGTAACGTGAATACAAAGAATTCATTATATATAAAACTTTTCGTTTTTCAATAAAAGAAAAAACAGGAATGATCAATGGTATTAAAAAAAAAGCGAATGAAAAATATGTGAGTCACACATTTATGTGTACCACGAGGATTAAAAAACACGAGCCTTTGATTTCTCGTTGTAAGAAAACGCGATTTTAAAAAAATTAGCATTGATCAAACAACGTTTTTTTTTTTTGTTTGTTTTTTCCAAACAAAAACAAAATATTATCGAAAATAAAAACAATCCTACTTATAGAAAATAAATACGATTCAATTAAAAAAAAATTTAATTTAATACCTTTATGAATTTTTGTAAAATAACTTTGACGTAAAAAAAAATTCAATTGGATAGGAAAAGTATGAAGAAGATAAAAATAAAAATTTCGAATTGTATGGGAAAAAATTTAGAAATTTTGTAGAAAAATAATTAGCGATTTTAGAGAGAACATAAATTTAAAAAAAAAAACCGCACGCACACTGTGTGATAAAAGAAAAAATAGCGCCTTTTTAAAAAAAAAAACGTGTCGATTTATATTCCCCTCCTCCTATCCGAATTCGAGTTTTACGCCTAACGTCTTAAAATTTATTTATCTCCTAATTCTTTGGCAACTAGATCTGTCGGATGGTCCGTACGAATATTTACAAACGGTTTCTTTTTTTTTTTCTTCGCAGTGAATAAAAATGTTTTTTTTTTATCTCTGTCTGGACTAGGAAACGATACCACAATACGCTCTAATCTCTCATTTTTTTTTTCTTTCGTAAGTAATATACGCGAGATTAATTGTCGCTGAGTAAAAAAAGAAAGACGTTTCGGTCACGATTGCTTTTTTAAAAGTTCGAGATTATTATATCAAACTTTCTTTTTTAATCTATATTTATATTTATATACAATAAATCCCTCTTTGCGAAAGAAAAAAAAATTCATTATTTCACGAGAGGGATTCGCATTTTAAAATGTCGTTTTTATTCGAAATAGTCAGAAATATTCACTATTATTCACATTCTGTTTCTTTAAAGTTCATTTTTTATTCCTTTGAATAAATTAGCCCTAATTTTGGCAAATTCCCGAGACCCGGAAGGATTTTTTAAAAAAAAAAGAATAAGATTAGAGACAAACTCTTTGCTCTGAACTATCCGAATTAATTTGGATAGCAAGCAAGGAGTTTGGATTCCATCATTGAGGCGCCATCATGCATTGGGCTTCCATTCCTTCGGGTGGTACTCGCATATTGCCATTAGTTGTGACACAACCATTCACATCGATGGTAATTGGTGCGCCTGGATGACTCGTGAAATTTGCATTACATAATTGCATCGATGCACTTTCTGTCAGTACATGATCACTTTGAACTAAGCAAGCGTCGTTAGTTGGACAAACACCATCGTTCGTCGTGTGACTTATGTGAATTGGTATTGAATAATCAGGAATATATTCACCGTTTTGGTCCACTGGCACATGTTTTCGATAGACTTGAAATTTTCGTGGAATAAATTTTGGATCAATTACCAATGAGCTTATGTCATTGGTTTCATTAACTGTGGTCATATGACCATTTGCCATTGTGTAGAGATCGGGCTCAACTCGCGGTTCCGACGTTAACATTGACTCAAGGCACTGATACAACAGAACGTAATCCTCCTGTTGAGAAAAAAAAACAAGTATTTTTAATAATTTAATTTTTATTTTCATATAAATGGTAAAAAAAAACGAAACTTACCAAAGACCTAAAAATACCAGGCCTCTTCATATATAAAAGCTTGGAAAACATGTAAATATCTGCGCTCTGTTCAAACTCAATTTGTTTGGTAAGTGTTGTAAGTAAAATAAATAGACCAGCTTCAATACCACCGAACCTAGAAAAAATTATTCAAATAATAATTTAGAAAAAAATAAGAATAGTAGAATTATATTTTTATAATGTAATTAAAAGCAAAGGAAAAAAAAAATTAATCATAAAATTTAAAATCAATTAATACCTATCCATAACGACGATGGGTCCATTTTGATAATCTCTATGAAAATCTTGAATGACGCTGACAAAAGCTTTTGGATTATTATGATGAGGCCAAGGACCACCTTGATTTAAAGGTCCTTGGACAATTTTGGCACTTAGCTCGTAGTCATCCTGCAATGATCGTACTGCAACTTCTCGTAATACTACTCCACTTACTGTCTCCTTAATTCCACACAATCTCACTCTAAATGTCTCAGATTCTAAATCCTTTCCTTCAATAGGCCAGAATTCAGGGTATTCCTGTAAAAATTTTGCATTTTTTGAAAATTAATTATATTTCAAAAGAAATAATTTATCTTAAAAATTTGTATGCTTTTTTTTAAATATTCTTTATTTTATGATAACAAGAAGTTTTGAAATTACCTCGTCGCATTGCGTCAACATGACTATAGTCTGCGCATTGTGGTCCCACATCATTTGCCAAAATTCCATTATCGTGTCCTCCAAGGGATGTTGAGTGATAATAAATTCACGATTCCGGTGGAAACCTGCCAGAGACGATTATTTATTACCAAGAAAAGTTTAAGAGAAAAAAGAAAGAGAGAGAGTTAAAATAAAAATTGAAATATTCCTTTTTATTAATAAATCAAATTTTTTAAAAATATTCTGTCCTTACCAGCAACCCACGTTCCGTTTATATAATCGCTACCGTCGACGCCAGGTTTTGGTGTAAGATGAACGCGAGCATTTTCAATAGGAATAATTTCCATATTTCTGTTTTTATGAATATTACACGACTTCGTCGCCGACACTAAATTAAAGTCCTTTGGTTTCCAAGACGATACAAGCTGCAAAAAAAAAAATTTCAATTTTATTAAAACTTGAATTTTTTCATTCAAAAATTTGATAAAAAAATAAAAATTTCAAACCTTGTATTGTGCTTCCAAATTATTCCATGGATTGGTTTTATTATTGGAAGGACAAAGCATATCTTGCACGTGTTTTGCTAAATTATTAACTTCTAAATTTGTTTCACCGCTTTCAATTGCCTCTTGAAGAGCGTCATGAATGAAAATATATTGCTCCTCAGTTTGTACGAGAAAATTTCTCTGTGTACGAATGTGTTTCAAAAATCCGTACACATTAATTTCACCTTTACTTTTTGCTTGTCGCAGCATTGCATCGATTACAATGTAAGTTCCGGTGCGACCCACACCAGCGCTACCAAAATAAAATTATTTTTTTTTCAATTACACAATAAAAAATTACTTTCTAAAATTATTATAAATATTTAAAATAAAATTCAAATTTATAATTTAATGAAAGTGAGAAAAATTAATTTCAATTTACAAACCTGCAATGAACAATAATTGGTCCAGCATCCGGTGGATTTGCATTTGACGATTTACAAATGAAATTGAGTACTGGAAGTGGATGATCGGGAACTCCATGATCCGGCCATCCAGTATAATGATACTGAAGTACTGTTCGCTCGGCCATGTTGTTTCCGTTTTTCTTTTTCTTAATCTGCTTAAAATTCAAAATCAACTTTATTTTATTAAATCATTCAATCACATTATTAGAAAAAATTGATACAATTAAACTATTTTAATTTTCTTTTTCTATTTTCACTCTACCTTAAGAAACCAATTTCAAAATAAGAAATAATTTTTTTTCTACAAATAAAAAAAATATTTATTCACAAAAAATTCTATTTCCACTACCTTTAGATGACGAATTTGTAAAGTGCGAATCGTGTAAGTCGCCATGACATCTTCTTTCGCTAAACTAACTTGAATGTAACCATAGGTTTCCGTTCCCTCCTTAGGCCAATACATATCGCATTTCCTCTGTACAAAAAAAAACATTACATATCAGAATAATTTAAATTCGATTATAAGAATTATTTAGATTTTTAATTATAGAAATTTGATTTTTGAATTAAAAACATTAAAAATTTCTAAATTTAGATCTTGAAAAATTGCATCTTGCCAAGAATATAATTATATGAATATAATTTTATGCGAGAAGTAAAAAAAAAAAGAATTTAAACAATCAGGGTTATATTCTGTTGGAATAATAAAGAGGAAAGCCTGATGAATCATATATGTGGCATGATTATACAAAACTTACACGGCCGCGCTCGACTAAATTAGTTATCATCACGATAATGGACACTCGTTGCTCCCACACCATACGCCAAAAGCCGTCGAACGTTGGAGGCAAGGGACCTTGAGTACCGATGTACGCACGAGCTCGTTGCCAACCATCAATATAATTTGCGTTAACATAATCCTGACCCTTTTTTGGCGGTCCACCTCCACATGACAACAGTTGAACTCGACTGTGATCATCTGTGAAGAAAAAAAAGAATTACAAATTTTTTCGTACATTTCCAATTTTTTTTATTTATATTTTGAATATGTATTTTAATTTTTGTATTTTTATTTGATACTTGCAATAAATGACGATTTCTATAATTAAACAATTTTATCATCAAATGTATTTTTAAAATTTCTGAGTAAACTTTCATATCAAAATGCAACTGATGTTTTGTGCTGTACTTGGCCTACTTTATATTCTCTTTTTTTTTTTTTTTTATTGTTTTTCTTCAAGACGTTTTTTAAAATTCATGAAAAACAATTTCTAATTCAATGTTTTTTAAAAATCGTATAAATAAAAATAGATTTTATTAAATTTCTAATTTTGCACTCGAAAAATTTCGAATTCTTATAGAGAATATTGTAAAAAAAAAAAAATGTAATTATTAAAGAAATATTCGTAAAACACTAATTAGAAAATTATTTATCAAATTGTTGAGAAAAAAAAAGAATTAATTGTTTTTTAATTAAAATTTTGATGATTTGTCAACAAAAAAAAAAAAGGTATAAAAAAAAATTGTGTGAATATTATTTATAATACTTACAGGCGAGAATGTTAAGGTATCTATTTTTTGCTTTATTCTCAGCAAATTGGGAATTTTCGACCGTGTAGTCGCCAGTGTCAGATTGGATGACATCATACTCCTTGCTGAAGCCAATGTCGCCATCGGCATGTAACGAAGCAACATGTTGAGCAAAATGTTGTACCGCAACTGCTGTTCTCTCGCCATCCTGTTCGCTATTCTCCCATTCCTGGAGTGTTGGAACATTCCTTGGTGGATAATCCAAATAGTAATAGGCAGTGTGAAAGCACTTTCTGAAAACGGGCCTACCACATGGCCTGATAAGTTTCATCTTCCAGTAAATTTCATACAATAATTTGATTTTTTTTAAAAAAATATATCCTTCACTGATAACAATTAAAAAAAAAAAAATTAATTCGAAATCAGTGAAAGTTTAATTCAATGAAGAGATTTATCTCAGAAATTAATTTCGATTTTTTTTCTGTCCAAAAAAAAAAAATTGCTTTATAAATTGAATGATTAATTTAATATTAATAATTTTTTCAAAATTATTATAAAAAAAAATTCAACAAAATTTTTTTTATTTAATTTTCTTTATTAATCGAAAATTAATTACTGAATTAAATTTCTTTTGGAATTAATGCAAATTTTCATCGTCAATCAGAAATTATTTCTTTCCATTAATTATTAATTCACTGCTTTGAAAAGTCAAAAAAAAAATTGCAAGAGAGAAATTTTGACTAGATAAATAAAAATGTAAATAAAAAAAAAAGTTGCGAGATAACGTTCGAGAGTAAAAGATGAACAAAATTTCCGATTGAGGAAAGTAGAAGATAAAAAAAAAACGACAAATTGAGGTCAAATTTTCTTGCGTAAAACACCCGAGGCACTGAAATGATGTTAAAAAGAATCCTTTGTGATGTAATAATGGCCATTTATTAACCAAGTTCATTAGATCGCGTGAGAATACAAAAGAAACAAAACTTTCAAGATGTTATATCGTTTTTTTTTTTTTTTTTATTTTGATACCGCGATATGCACTCGACCGTTGTCTTATAACGAATCATTTAAAAACTCCTTAGAAAGTCTCTTACGGTATAATTCGTCGTATATTATTTGAAAACGATGAGAAGTTCAAATTAGCGTCTCTGAGTCTTTTCATATTGTAATAAATTTAAAAAAAAAATGAAGAAAATTTTATTAGTTAAAAAAAAATAAATGTACAAATTTTTTTTTTAAAAAATCGACCGACACGATACACGATCTCTTTCTAATCGTCAACTGTGAAATATTATTCCGCAGTTGTCAGTGGTCGTTATCGTTGAGTCGGAGATAAGAAAGAGCGTCGGTGTTGCGTGCCTATGTGGATCTGCACAAGTGGTCGTCGTTTTTATGTTCCATTAGAGACGATTGAACGATTATTGAATTTGAAAGAGCGAGAGACAGACCTCGATTTAGATTCTTTTTACTCTTTCTCTCTTGCAAATGGCTTTGTTATTTTCTTCTTTTGTTTTATAAAATTTACATAGCTATAATTACGTTACACACTTCATCGTAAATCATTTTTTTAAATTAAAATACAAATTATAAACGCTAATTATTATTATTCCACGGGAATTATAAAGAAAAATCATTGATTTCTTTCCTTTTTTTTCTATATGCAAATTTGAATTTGATAATAATTTGGGATAATATAAATAATTTCAAAATGAAATAATAAGAAAATAAATATTATTTTAATTTAGAAAAGTCAATTTCGTTTTTATTACGATACTGAAACTATATTCTGGAGTATTCTCGTATTTTTCTTTTTTTTTGTTTTTAATATAAAACTGAGAAAGAGAGACTTTTTAATGCAGATAAGAATATAATTATTGTTTGAGAAAAATTTTATGATAACGCGTTCAAATGATTGTTAAACAACTACAATTGACAGCAGTCTCTTTATTATCGGGTTTTCTATTTATATATAAATATTATCTACTGATGGTCCAGTCATAGAGAACAGATAAGAGAAAGATTTATATTGACATTTTGATGATTTTTTTTTTTTTTTTAAATAAACACAAATGAAAACTATTTTGACGATTAGAGAAAAGTGAGTGTAAGCATCAAAATTTTTAAAAGACAATTTTAATTTGTTTTTATTTTTAAAAAAACCAAATCTCGCGGTAATTATAAATTAAAAATAAAGTTTCTTCAATTCGTAACTTTTTTTAAATTTTCAGTATTAGAAATTAATTATTAATTAATAAAAATTAATTAATTTGGACTAAATAAATAAAAAAAATAAGTAATTTACGGATAAATTAATTAAAAAATCAAGTTTTTAAAAAATAAATTTGATCGATTATTGTATAAAAATATATAAGAAATCTAACGATCCTGAAAGGAGCGATAAAAATTAAATTTGAGTTAAAATAAAAGATTGGGGAAAATTAATGATGAAAATTCTCATTAATGCGGGGTTTTTTTTTTTTTAATGAAATAGTTTTTTCACTGATAAGTCTCACCTCCAGAGAATAAAAGAAGTAATTGCCAGCATCACGGCAAAACAGGCGCAAACCATTCCGGCAATAACACCAGCGCTTAGTTCTTTGCTGCTTCGTCTCATCAATGGTGGACTTTTGTCACAATCACGAGCAAGAAGAACTTTTCTCGCCAATGTAGTTTCCCCACGAATAATGTCCGAAGGATTTATTACACTTCTGGTTGCTCCTTGTACAGTGACCTCGTACATTGCATTCATTGTCAGATTTGTGATTGTCGTCTGAAAAAAAATAAATCATTAATCATTTTATCAATTTCCTTTTCTTTTCATGTGGAAAAAATGCAGACTCATCAATTAATAATTTTTAAATGATCATTCTTTTTTTTTCATATTCACTGTTACTAATTAAAATTAATAATTTCATTTTTTAAATTTAATTAGTCTTGTTTTTTTTGGTATTTACTGTTTTCTAATTAAATTAAAAATTTATTTTTTAAATTCAATATAGAATAGATTTTTTTTAATGAATAAAAAGTATAATTTAAAAAAAAAAACTTAATTAAATACTTGATATAATTAAAAGTAAAATTTTACCCCGCTTTCCAGATAATTCGTGTCAGTTGATAGTTCAATTTCATCGTTATCCCTTGCATTTTCAGTACGATAATTTATGTAATAATAATCGACGGAATTCCAATAGGTAGCAGGACGAGCCCAATGCACATAAATTGCATCCTCCGATTGGCAAGTAAGATTGAGAATAACAGGAGGAATTGGTCCAGCAATATCGGTTTTTTGCATAATATGTTCCGACGGTTCACCCTCATTTTTCCACGTGAAGGCTTTAACCCATATATTATATTCGGTGAAAGGAACTAAAAAAAAAAGGAAAACAAAATATAGTTAGTAATTTTTCATTTTTTTTACCAAAAAAAAAATTTTTTTATCTCAAAAAATTAGTTAAATAACAGTAATATAAAGGCAATAATATTCTAAACGATTGCATTAAGTTTGCATAAATGTTTATGAAATATCGAAAATATTTTATTATTCCATGATTTGTATCTTTAAATAAAAAAAATATATCAGTAGCTGTAATTGTTGTAACGGAATTGCCATAATTTACATTCTTTTATATATATGTACAAAGAGACGATTTTTAGTGCAACCCAGAAATCGAAAATAATTGCTTCTGACGCATTGAGAGAAAACGTGAAAGCTATTCTCTCCTCTCTTTGAAAGATGCAAACTGTAATCAGTCGTAACCCAATAATCAGAAAACTGTTTTCTCGATAAATCAAGTATGTATTTGTTTTTTAATTCAACAGTATATTCAAAATTAAAATTAATTTTCGTTCAGAAAAAAATCGAATAAAAATTTACATTCAATTTTCTGATTGATTTAAATTTATTTAAAAAAAAATGATAAAAGGAAAATTAAAAAAAAAAATATCAAAATTAGAAAAAAATTATACTTACGAAGTTTGTCGAGAGTAAAATCGATGCTCTTTGGATCATCTTCAGCAATTTTGTGCGTTTTAACATCAGTAAAATTGGAATACATGTAGTAAACTCGATAGCCTAATATGGCCCCATTCGCGTGCTCAGGTTTGGACCACGATAAGTCTATGGTGAAGGATGTAATTCCACGTGCAATAAGATATAGCGGTTTACTCGGAACTGTAATCAAACGTTTTATTCATAAGATCATTTTAGATAACAAACTGTAATATAATATTATTTTGCAAAGCATAGCAAATTCTTCTAACAAAGTAATGCGAATCGAATTTTTATCACAAAAGAAAATTTTTTTAAAAAAAATCACTTCCTGATTTCAAAAAAAAAAATTTTTTTTTAAATTCTTTCTTTCTCAATAAATCAAAAAATTTTTCATTAAAAAAATAAAAAATTGAAAAATTATGTATAGAAACAAATTTAAAAAAATATGATCTTTTTTTTGGAATCACTGTCGACGAGGAAGTATATATAACAGTAAGTTTCTTGAATTTTACATTCCTTCCATCTCGCGCCATGAATCTTTTTTTTTAAAAAAAAAGAAAAAAGCACAAAAGCCTTGTGAAGTTTACAGAGAGGTCACCATCAGTGTGTATGGCAATATCTATTCAAGTGACCTCGAGAATTTCCTCAGTGAAGAAATTGAAATCTTTCATGAGGAGAAGAGAAGACTCTTCATGCCCCCCTCCCTCATATACAGTACAAACAAAAGTTCTCTTCGTCTAGCAGTTTTTTTTTTCTTTTCTTTTTTGCGTAACCATCGTCTAGTCTTATATACCCCGATCTTTGTCTTTCTTCCGGAGAAAAGAATAAAAAAAAAGATTACACTATTCCTATATCAGCAATAATTTACTTTTTTCCAGGCCAATACCAAATCAACGAATCGTGCAAACGTTCTTTTGCAACGAAATAAAAAAAAAAAAAAAAACAATTAAATGCTATGAATAATACAAAAATGGCGAAATAAAAATAAAACAAATTTCGGAATTAAACAAAATCGACAAATAATTATAATTTTTTAATTAATATTTTTTAAATAATATTTTTTAATTAATATTTTTTAATTAATATTTTTTAAATAATATTTTTAAATTAATATTTTGTAATTAATATTTTTTAAATAATATTTTTTAATTAATATTTTTTAATTAATATTAGTTAATAATAATTAATTGGTTTTATATTTGAAAATCTATATACAATAAAAAATCCTAATTCGTGAGTTGAAATTAAATATTCGATGCTTTAAATTTAATATTCAAATACGGAAAATAATTTTTGAAAAAAAATTCGTTTGTGGAAAAAAGAAAGAAGTGTTAAGTTTTAACAACTTTCGAAATAACCAAAGAATACAAAAGTTATAAAGGTACTTTATATGTCCATCCGGTGCTTTCATTAAATATATATATATCTAAGCATGACTTTTTGCATGATTCATGATTACGACCTGCAGACTTTATATATTCACTTTGCATTGCTAGTATTATCTAATTCATGCTAATTTTAAATGTCGACGCCCGTCCAATATATTGACATATTTGCTTTTTCGATTATATATATATATATACCCACAGTATTTTTCTAATTTTCATTTCGCTCAAAAAAAAAATTTAATTTTTAACTTACAATAAAAGCGAAGAAAAATACTGAGAATTATTTAGAAAATTAATTTGAAAAGAAAAATTAAATTCCAAACATTTGGATATAAATTAGAAATCAATTATAAAAATTAATAATAATAGAAAACAATAAAATATGATTTTTCATATAATTAAAAAAAAAGGACGTTTCATTTTTTTTACCCAAGAGACGGAAAACGAGATAAGAAAATTTATCTACGTATAACAAAATGTAATATTTACAAAGGCAGTGGAAGAATGAGCGTTCATCGATATGACTCATTAACTAATTAAATCTTAAGATTATTGTAATTGACATTTTTGAAATGAAAGAAATAACTACTAAATAATATTTAGACATTAATTATTATTATTATTTTTTAATATCAATCATGTGACGTTAAACATCGCTTTAAAAACTTGAACTTAAAGTATATTTTTCTTGTTTTAAGTGTATACACACTTTTTTTTTTTTAACGTGAATCAACATTTTTAATGTTTAAAAGACACAAAAGTCTTTTTTTAAAAAAAAAATCTTTACTTCACGTGTAAAAAGCGAATACATTCAAAAGTCTTGGTGCATTCTTTACGTAAAGAAGTGTCTAGTCTCTGAATGAGAATTTTTTTTTTTTTTTAATAACAAAAGGTTTGTCCCAAAAAAACATTCAAAAAATAATTGTCGCAAAGAATTTTTTTTTCCTTTCTGTAGTTCCTTTCTTTGTTTAAATATTAAAATATTTTTTTCCCCATTCTTGATAAATTCTTCCACGTTTAAAAAAAAAAAAGAAAAAAAAATTTCCACAAAGAAATATATAATTTTAAGAAATTATAATTTATCCATTGAATAAATATTTAATAAAAATTCAAAAATTGTTTAAAAATAGAAATAGATTTTTATAGGGCAAGAATTTTTTTTTTTTTTTGCAGTGTGAAAGAAAAGAAAAAAAAAATTCTTTTATTCTCAGAAGAATTCGCATGAGATGACCAGAACGTAACCTGATTGAAAAAAAAAAACATTGGTATTCCAACATATAGTGGTAGTGAAAGTTTTGTCGGTATTGCATAGCACATATTGTGTATATGGGATAACAACGATGGACAAGTGAAAGGAAATCGTCAATGAGATTAGCACCGCATATTCCAAAGATCTATTAAGGGAGTCATTAGTAATTTTCAGAAGAACAATTTTTCTCTCCGTCTTCTATAATAATTTTTATAATTATCAATTCTTTTAGTTATTGTATAATTATCATTTTTTTATTACCCTAATTATTATTAAAGAAATGACTGTTCTTTTTAATAATTATCATTCGAAATAACCATCAATTACGAATAATTATCTTTGGTAATTACTATTTATTTGATAAAGCACTACAAGTACTTGATAGTACTCAATAGTACTCGATAGTATTCAATTGTACTCCACAGTACTCAATAGTACTCGATAGTACTCGATAGTACTCGATAGTACTCGATAGTACTCGATAGTACTCGATAGTACTACTAGTAATCGTAATTATTATTACTATCGAAACTACCAATCGATTATAACTAATGTATACGTAACAGAAAAAAATCCCAAGCGCTGGGAATTGAACGCACGACCCTAAGACTTGCAAGTCAGGTAATATAGACACCTAACCACGGATGAACGCTAAGAAAGTTTGCAAATTTTTTTACTTTATTTATTTCCTACAATTAATTATTATAATTATTATACTATTATTATCATTACTATTATAAATTAAACAATTTTTAACATACATTAATATGCGCTGAATCATTTCTAACATCGTTTCAACAATTTTAGTTATAGTTATAGTTTATCAGTCGATTAGAGTTCTAGAAATTAGACTTTTATTGATATGGTTAACGACTTTACTTTCTAATCTAGTTTTTCACTATCATCAGTGTCGCAGTTTCGAATTTAATAACAATAGAATTAAATTTTCACCGTTTAGCAATTTTTTAAAACTATTTTTCCCTTGAGTAAAAATAAATTGAAAAAATTAGAAAAAATTCCTGTTTAAAAAATATTTCATTTTAGAATAAAAATCCCCAGAAAAAATAATAAAAAAAAACTATTTACTTATGCGAAAAATGTTGAAAAATATTTGAATTTCCTTTGAAAAAAAAATATATTTGAATGTATATATACATAAAATTTTTCTTTGGAAAATTATGAAATATGAAAAAAAAATTTTCCATTAAAAAAGAAAAACTGTTTCTTTAGATAAAAATGTAGCATTCAAATAAAAGACCCATTCCAGTTAATGAAAAGAAATATTTTTCTTTTTCAATGCAATTTTAATGTGTTTCAAAATGAAAAAAAAAAAAATAAATAAAAAAAACAAGCGCCGATTGAGGTAAAAATGAGTAAAATTTTAGAAAACCATTATAGAGAAAAAGAAGAAGAAAAATAGCGAGAATATGAGGATAATGAAAAAAAACCCGCAAAATCGGAAGATGAGCAACGTTATGAATATCTTCATTGAGTCAGGAAAATTTTTTTTTTAATTTTTTTTTTTTTTTGCTCGTAATTTAAAATATATATATGTGTTTGTATATGTAATACGGGACAAACTTGTCTCAACCATCTACGTAAACGTTCACGTAATCCTCGAGAGACATAAAAATGAAAAACCTGTTTCTCATATGTGTATATATATATATATATACCTTATTTATCAAGCGTCAAAACGCGACGTTTCGTGGCTTTTTCACAAATTAATTTTCTCTTATTTCGACAAAAATAAATTGCCGAGAAAAATTTTTCCCCCTTGTCTCATATTATATTTATATATGTGTTTGAAAAATAATTGGAATTTTTAATTTTTTAATTTAATATTAAAATTTTTATAATAATTAATAGAATTTTACTATAAAATTTTCTAATATTTATTAATATTTTAATTGATTAAGAATGTAATAAAAATTAAAAGTCAAAGTTCAAGAAATCATTTTTCATATTATTTTTGTATTCAATGAATGATGATTTTCATTATGTTGTTGATAATGTTGAGATTTAAAAAACTGTGGCTGATTTAATTAATCGTCTCGCGAAGCAGAAACTGTTGCGTGACATTAAATAAACGCAAGTGAATTCTGTATAGTAATATTTTGTTAATTATGGTAAAATATTGATTGTAGAGAGAAGGCTGAATGTTTTTCAAATCCAGGGATTTAACGACAATATGAAGGATTTTATGATCGATTTTTCTTCCCACGGTTGTATATTTATATATATATATATATATATATATATATATATATATATATATATATATATATGTGAGAATCCATTCTCTTTCTATTATATGCATTTTCATTAATAATTCTTTAATAAATTTTTTTTATTTTTAAATCATTAAAAAAAAAAAATACAGAAATTTTTATAGAAAATCGAAAAAAAATTTATTAAAACAATTTTTGATAATTTAATAAGGGAAAGTCGTGGAAATAAATTGAAATGGTAATAAATAATAAATATTGTGAATCGATATGCCAGTCGATGAAAATGTTTCTTGTCCGCGACTTTTAAACTTT